ACGATTTGTTGACGACATGTTGGAAATCTGTTTGTGATGGCCAGGGACTTGCGACATCGACCATGGTTTCATGCTCTCGGTGGATCCGCGTGAACTCCGAGTCTAGATAGATTCGGATGTCGTCAAATGATTGATGGATATTAAATTTGCGATGAAGATCATCCAAGGACAATTGGCGGAACATTTGGTTGATATGCGACTCTGGTCTGCTGGCAATCAGAAAGCGAAGCGGGCAGTGTAATTGCATGACAGTCATTCCGACGAGCTCGATGATTTCCCGTTGAACATTTTCGTCCTCGCATTCGTCCAGGCCATCAACGACAATAGCCATAGTCCTCATGGGAACGAGGCCCTGTAGTGGTGCCATTATAAGTCTCTCAAGCTGTATGGAGAGGGACTTGTCCAATACGGCTGGTTCATTATCCATGCACATGAGGACAGCAGTCTTGAATTCGGGCAGGACGTTGGCGAGATGATATGCAATAGTAGGGAATAATTTCGTGGCATGGCCCCGAGCTGAATGTCCCCGCTTGAAGAAAAAACTCGCACCCAGGTGGCCTTCTGCCTCCAGGTTTTGACAAAGAGTCTGAGCAACAGCCGATTTGCCAGCACCAGCCAGACCGTGTAGCCAGAGGATTCTACTCTTCGGATCATCTTCCAATGCCCAGTCGTGTAGCTTGGCCAGAATATCTGTCCGGGTCGCGGGGTGACAACGTTCACGACGCGGGGGAGAGAAGCAGTTTGTCAAGAACTGGACCAAGGATTCAGACCATACAGCCGCCTGGTCTCAACCGCTGCTCACCGGCTTCCATGCGATTCGTAAACTCCAATCTTTCGATCGAAGTCATGACATCGAGCTGTGATTTACGTCATTAAACAAGCATTCTCATTCTAACACTGACACGATGCGTACCTGGAAAATCTGAAGATGACCATTCAGTCGCTTGAGGGAGGCCTCGATGGTCTTGAGATCTTCCTCGCTTTGGAGTATTTTTGCGAGATGCGGGCGTCGCTGAAGCACCTCAAATTCCGTTATCTCAGCCGCGAGAAATCTAGGAAAGGTTGGTGATACCATTGACGCAGCAACAAGATCTGGAAATATATCACACACTCAGAAAACTTCCACGCTCTTTCCTTCGCGTCCCCAGACGACGCCGTCTCCATAGCCTTGTTGATGACATCGATTGTCCGTGTGAGCTGCTGAAGCTGGGTTTCGACAGCGCTCTTGTTGGCCGAAATGGTCTGCGTCATTGGGAGTTCGGTCATTTCTCATCCACGCAAAGGGCACATGAAGACCTACACAGGCCAGGTCTAGGAATGAATGCATTCAAGACACTGATTGGGATCTTGAACGGGGTCCCATCGAGGAAAAGCTCTGTTTTCCTTGCCAGAAGAACGAACCCTGCCTTCAGAGTCCTAATATATTCTGGGACCGGGGATGGAATCGAATTCGAAGGTGGGTCCCCTTTCGCGGACGATGTGATTAGACAGGTCTCTGTCGCAAACGAGCTCAGCAATAGTAAAGAGCCAGTGGAACGGATGTGTACGTGTGCTGGTGAGCAGCGCGGCAGGGATTTGCAAGGGATCAGCGGGTCCATCAGCAACAGGAGGCTTTCGCCCGCAAAGGCGTCGTAATATTTTGAGCATGGCTGTTTCGAGTACGGATCGGGTGGTAGTGAGTCGGAGACAGAAGTGGTAGAGGCCCTGTGAAGGCCACGTCAGGCTCGTGTACGGCAACGAGACACGAGGGAACCCGCTGACCGATCTTCCTCCGTTGATATGGAGAGTGAAAAAAGTAACTTGTCCGTGCTAACTTTAACTTTGATCGCCCCTTCAGCTTAGCGGGGCTAACTTTACTTAACTTTACTTCACTTTTCCCACGCTTGGCCAAAGTAACTTGTTGACGGCTAACTTATGCGGTTCTGATAAAACAATGCAATGACCCCAGTAGATGCTTCCAAACACCTCAATAGTACTCCAAACAATAGTAATTACCAATCTTACTCCGCTAGAGTGTCTGTGAGTGGTTTCATCATTTTTTACACAAAGTTCAACAATATTGTTTGTTGGTGGCGGAGGTATTGCCGATGCCCACGCCCTCAGCAGGGCTTGGTCGGGCCGGGCTTGGTCCTGAGCCAGGGACTGAGGTAAGCAACCATTGTCAGAGTGAGGTCCGAGTCGAAAGTCTTGTAAATGAATTTACCAAGTGCAGGAAATAGCATTTTCTCTAATGACTTTGCAATTGAGATCTGGATTGGAGAAAGGAAAGTAGTTGTGGTCCTTCAACATTAGAAACTGCGTGCGAGAACATCCAGAAGCCCCTTTATTGGTGTACCACACTCACAATTGTTGCTGTCTCAAAGTTTAAATGGCTGGAAGTACACCATACAATGGACATATTCCTCAACTCATGGAAATGGGTGTAGATTTCTGAGCCAAGAAGACATGAATTTTCTAGATAGACAGTCCATTGACCTGGAACAGAGTGATGACTCGTGCCTGATCTGAAATCTGTAATGCACGAATGATCCTGAGTTGGAAAGCCAATAAAGATGATCAAAAAGCCAGTACATCTTTTGCTTCATGTGGCTACCCACACTATTCATGTAAAGCACATCAGGGAACGGCCTGAGATTTGGAATAATCATGTATTGAGTGCTTATCAGGTGCGAACCATCGAATGATTCAGATACGGTTGAAGAAACAATACCTAGATTTGTTTCAGTTTCCTTAGTTACATCTACTTACACATTTACTTGCTGTTACTTCAAGTTACTTGAAGCTACTTGAAGTTACTTGGCGCTAACTTGGCCGCCCAAGTTCGATCAAGCAAAGTAACTTATGCCATCAGGTGGCATCAATTACAGCCAAGTTTCCCCGTTTGCTTCCAAATTAGTGTCGAACAGGTGAGTAATGGACATAACAAAGGAAAAAATGACTAGAAGGTTCATCTATATAGGGCATTTACACCACGGGAAGTCAAGGAGTCTCTTCAATACCGTACTTTGCAGGACCACAAGGCTTGCGTAGTTGTGGCTCATTAGTAGCCTGCTCCACCTGTACTCGTGGGGTCTGGGATACGTTCCGGGGGGAAGAAACATTTCCACAGCGCGCTAAAAATTGCTGGAGATATGTACAAAGCTGGGTGGCAATAAAACAAACATCGGTGCAGTGACATGTTAGGACGCGAGGTCAGTGTGTTGGCTTTGATCTATTCCTTTGTTCCACCTGCCAAGCAAAGCCTCACTTCACACAGGGATCTATTTTTCATGTTACCTATCCACATGGACTTTTGGCAAGCGGGATCCTTGTCGGAGGAGTAATGGGAAATGCTATTCACATGGTTAGCGGTATATCCCGCATGCAGAGATGCAGATATTGCACTGGGAGTTGTTAACTTACTGTAACATCCCGTTACTTTTGCTAGCTTGAAGTTACTTAAGTTAACTTGTAAGTTACTTTTGCTAACTTTACTTTACTTGCCTGCCATAAGTAAAGTAAAGTTAGTTTTGGCAGGCCAAGTTAGTTTGTACAAGTAACTTTATTAACCATCGTTGATATGCATTGTGGGTGTCAACTGAATCATACATATGATTCATGGTGGATACGGCGTACATTTTCGACGTTGCCGATCTCATCCCGGTGACATTGCTCGGCTTCAACTGGCAAGGATCTAAACGTGTATTTCCTTGCTTCAGATGTCCTGACTTCATACTGGACCGTGACGTATGGTCGTCGATCAAGACAAGTCTCCCTCTGCCCGAGATGCCCGAAGGTAGTGAGGTTTGGGCGGCACTAGTAATCAGAGAAAGTGGGAACGGAGATTAATAGATCATGCTGCTCGTCTTTGATCACGCACCACATCCCGTGCCCAAGCTTAGCCCACGCTCCACCCAACTCTCAGGTTCGTGCCCAGCCACCGCTACCACTCTTACTCGCGATACCTCGAAGAAGGGACAGGCGCGCAACGCCCTGGTGCGCAACCCCAAGGGCCCCATTTTGAGGTCCTGCTTGTTTGCTTTCTACGTGTCTCTCTTCCTTGATAATTCCATATTGGATCCGCATCGCGCTACCTGCGTACACGGAGGTTCCAGGCTCTCCCCGATCCCACGTTGTGACAAGCATTATTGTGTGTTCGACAGGATTTTGGTCTAGATCTGACTTCATGTATCCGGATCCGTGTTTCCGTGCCCGCGGGAAACACGATTCGAGTAGTTATCTATGATCTCCTTCATCACAAGTTTTCTCATATAAAAGAGTGAAGTTTAAGGTGCGCATCCAACAACTAAGTACTCCTTAAGCGCGAAGAAGTGCTTGTTAAATTGTGGACTTGTTTTTTGATAAATCTCTTAATGGTGCCATTGCGTGGCCATGCAGATGCTTGAGCTTAGATTCAAACGTAACATCGATCCTCAGAACTCTGGTGAGTTTCAGCGGAAAATTTAGGATGTAGATGTATGTTACCGAATGTTAATACGGAGGGCGGTTCTCTCGGTCACTTCCAAAGACCAAACGGGCCAAATCTTGTATGTCCCAGGTGGCTTCGAACCTCCAGAAATTATTCTACCTTAAATAAGTCGCCAGATCGCTGGTTTAGAATAGGCCCGGACTTTCTCTCACCTGTACACGTTCAATGATTCAGCCAGTATCAGCAAACCTGCCGAAGGGTGGATATTAATTTTGTGGTTCTTAGTTGCAAGCCACAAAAAAACGAATGCTCGCGTTGGTATTTGGGGAAGGCTCACGCTCCAAAAGCGCGCTGTACAGATTTACGTCCCCGGGTGGATTCGAACCACCATCTCTCCCTTGTATCGTCAACACATGCTCTTATTCACTGGGAGTGAGCTGCCTTGCTCCACAGGGACTTTCCTATAATCCTTGTGGGCCTTCAATGTCACTCGAACTGCCCATTTGAAAACCTAACGAATGTTGCTCGTGTTGGTATTTGGGGATAGCTCATCATCGGGGGCTCCGGATCCAAAACACTTTGCACACACTCACGTCCCCTGGTGGATTCGAACCACCGTCTCTCCCTTGTATTGTGTACAGCCATCACAGAGAGTGAGCTGCCTTGCTCCACAGGGACTTTCCCAAAGTTCTTGTGGGCGTCCAATATCAATGTCATGGATTATCATTTCGAACTGGAGCTTACTTACCTGTGATTTGTTGTATCCCGGGCATCTCGGGCATAGTTATTCCGGGTCTCAAGTGTACCTGATTCTTGATTCCTGGGTCCTGAATCATCCTGTCGCTCAGACAGGGGGATTAAATTCAAGATAATTCTCCCTGGTACTACTCTCAGTACCCGAATGTAAAGTGTAGATAAGGAAAGTTCATAGGCTTCGATCTAGACCACCAGTCCCCTGTTGGAATCTGAAGCCAGCAGATCGAACCGGCCAGCTTGCCTCGACAGGAATAAAATCAGACACCTGCCTTGTGGTAAAGGCGCAAATCCTAGCGCTTCATCATCTGCCCTCCGGCTTCTCGAAATATCTATCCATCGATGCCGAAAATTCAAAACGCGTCGAGGTTTGCTCGCACATTTGACGCCGTATGCCGAACACGACCAGCCAAAAACGCCCACCTCATTTCATTTCGGGTACGAGTGCAACGCAACATACATCATCTGACCCTTCTCGCTACTTTCTTTACTTTACTTCAACACCGGCATATTCACCGACGCGCCCCCGCCCTCGCCCTCCCCGTCGACGTGCGCATCGTCCGACCGCCAGAGCGTCGTTGTCGTCGTTTTGGTTTGCGCGTAAAAGTTGATGCCGCTTCGTACGCAGTCGTAAGTAAGTGTCAGGAAAAGAAAAGAGCGACCGTGCCGCAGAAAAAATAAAAGAGAATCATGACGAGTTGAGACGCAAAGAGGTGATGCGTTCAGCTGAGGAGGTGGGTGGGGTGGGGTGCCAGGGAAGGAAGGACATGATGTGACACTCACCCTTTCCCGTAGAAATTGATATCGCCCAGGAAGCTCGCCTATACATACGGTCGGCCGCGTCAGCTATATCGTGTCTCGCTCTCCCTCGGGCCCGAACGACTGAGGCGGCCACAATGCGTGACGAACGCAACTTATTCCCCGTCCACGAAAACATCGGAAGGGGCCCCGGAATCGGCACATTCACCCCGATCTGCCCCGCTTCCACCTGCGCCGTGTGTTAGTTAGCGTGGTGCGCATCAATCATATCAACCGTAATGGGGAGGGAGATGCAAGGCAGGATTACTGGGGGAGGATTTATGTAACGGTCAGACACACCTTCGTCTCGAACTTCCTCCCGATCGGCCCCGACTGCGTGAAGATCGCCGCGCCGTTGCCGAATGGGTTCGCGTTGAGGACGGCGATGGCCGCGTGGGGACGCAGAGCGCGCACAGGACGGGGCCGAAAATCTCCTCTCTGGCGGGGGCGACGCCACCCAACCAAACATCAGCTCAATCCAATGCGATGAAAAGCGAGGTACGGGGCAGAAAGCCGAAGTACGAGGCAGAAAGGCGGAATGAATGTGGCGAGGAAGGGAAGGAAAGGTGGAAGGAAGTCTGAAAGAATAATCATAAGGAAACCTCACTTATACGCAGCAAGCTCCGTGGTCACCACCTCGATGATCGTTGCGCCGACCCAGTTCCCCGCGGGGTACCCGGGGACCAGCACTCCGCGTCCGTCGAGGAGGATTTTGGTCTTCGCGCGCGCGTTGTCTGCAGAGGCGATGAGGCCCTCGATCCGCGCAAGCGCGGCAGGGGTGATTACGGTCCACTCAGTATCCGCATCGAATGAGAATAATATCGCAGTCCGTTTTTCGCGATTCGAACAAGCTCGATAGAGAATGATGAAAAGGAAACAGGGGGAGAACATCGCAAGAGCAAGAAACAAAACGAGGGAAGGGGAGAAAGCAAACGAAGCGTAAAACAAAATACAACCCACCAACAGAAATAGCCATGCACCTCTGGCCCGCCGCGCCGCAGGCTGCCCCCAGGAGCGCATTCAGAGCCTAGTCCTTGTTCATGTCCGGCATCACGACCGCGTGGTTCTGTGTGCCCATGTTACACTTTGCGGTCGATTCATCGGTGAGCGAGTTAATTTAATGGGTTTGGTCAAGTAATGGACGAGGTAAAGTATCCAGAGTGAAGTGTGAGCCCTACGTACCTCCACGCGTTTCCCGTTCTTCGTGCCCCTGCATAAATCATAAAAATTAGTATGGGAGGGCGCGTGAAGAGTTTCAATTTCGCGGTGCCCTACACAGCTCGTATATATGCCTCCCCGCGCCATTCCCGCCCACAAAGCTGACCGCGCGGATGGCGTTCACGGTGGGGACGGTGCCGTGGACCTTGAGAGCCGGGAGGGAGGCCTGTTAATATTTGCAGCCGTCAGTCAAATCCCAATCAGAATTAGGTGAGGAGATCGAGGCGGGAAGGGGAGTGAGTGGGTTCAAAGGTGAAGATTGACTGGGGGGATGTTTGGAATGAAAGATGGAGGATGGGATCAGTTGGAGGTTAGGTGAGGAGCAAGTGAGAGAGGATATTGGTCGGAAAGAAAGCAAAGGGGAGAAGATGCGCACGCACCCACCCGGACACACAGCTCGGCGATGATCATGGTCGCGCGGGGGTCGTGCTCGGAGGGCTTGATGGCTGTTACCCGCGACGAGCGCAAGGGGGGATCATCCTGCATTGATTTCCAGGTTTAGTTGGTAGAATAGAGGAGGGAAAGGGAGTGGTCACGCGGGGAGGTTGAACGACGCGATGCGGGGTTGAATTTCGTTAGCCAATGCAGAAATGTGACGGGAGAGCCACAGAATGCGGCTGCGGGACGAAACATGGGGCAGCTGAAAGGGCGACGGTGAAGATGACATGCTCGCAAAAGTCGGGCTCACTCATCGCAGGATCCCCAGATGGCGTACGAACGCGGTAGCAGCTTCGGAGCCAACGGGACTTGTCCAGAGACCAGTCGGGCGACATGGGAGGACGAGAAGACTCAGAAGAGCCAAACACTGATCATGATGGTGCTGTCGATCAATGAGCAAACAATGACGGCATCTTCGCAAACTTCTCTCGAACTCCCATGTCGATTGACTCGATTCTGGGGTGTATCGCTTTCGCTCGGGCTCGTCCATTTTTGGCCTGAAAACAATTTACTGCGCAACATATCCACTAGGTAGCAATTCGGCAGCCGTCTTTTTCTCGGACTCGCAGTCTTTCTCTTTGACCTTTTTGCACTTGAGGCTGCGCCTCGCCCCCACATAGTTAAAACAGAAACAGTCCCCACAAGAAATCGGATGTGGTGTTCGGACAACCGCCGTCCGTGTTCTTTTAATCTCCTCTCAATGCCTGCCAGCACAGCGTCAACCCCCACTGGCGAACTCCTCGGTGGTGCTCCGTGGGGATCTCCTGGCCCTCAAATGGACAAATCTTCCACCTTCGCTGTGGTTTACTTGCGGTGGATTTGAATTTTTCTGGACATAGAGTTACATACACTCTCGCACTGTCCACAGGGATCAGAAGTCGTGTGCGGCTATGGTCGGTCAAGTAGCTGGCAGCACACGGTTCAATTCCCTGCGTCCGAACCTAGATATTCCTTTTGTTCCCGTGTCTTTTGGCTTCCAAGGTCCATTCAAAATACTTACGGCATGTCGGTCAAGTCCCGTCTCACGCCGGAGCGGAGTACTTTGACATTCGAACTCTTGCTCGCAATGATCGACCCGTCTGTAAAGATAGCGCCCTGCCTTTCTATCGCGACTTTGAAGCTTTGCGCAGTTACAGCCATCTCCTGTGTTTCATCTCGCTCTCGCTCGTGTTGAATCTTTGATTTATGGAAAATTCGACAGCCTATCCTCCTTCCCCGACGGAGTCAATTCGGTGTAGATCTCGGCACAATCTCATGTGAATTCTCATTAAAACATCCTTTCCACATCTCGCTCAGCACGTCTTCCCTTCCAACCCACGTCGTCGTTCTACATTCTTACAGCTCAACTCAGCCCGGCAACCCTTTAACCCTCGAGGCACTGATTCTCATCATTCTGCCTGGAAATCCTAACAGCGAGGCATACAACGTAGACCATTTGTTTTTCCTTATTCTCATACCGAATTTATTAGTACCTCTAAGTTATCTATGAAGTTCTACATCCGATGTAAGCGCACTGCTGTGGACTCGCGAGCCGGTGATAAGCGCGACCGACATACATGCTGGATGACCTCGACAATGATGCTGGAGCCCGCCTGGACGGTGCTGCCGTCAGCAGGGTTTGAATTGAGATGGTCTGCGCAAATGCAGTCGTCACAAATGCGGCGCTCAGAGCGAGGGAGGCTTCATGTGGGTGGATGGGCATTGAGTTGGAGGGGGTGGAAGACTGTTCTGGAACTACTTGCCTGTCATTTATTTTGTACCTAGCCATACGGGAGCGCAATGCCCGTTGATACGAATCTGGTACGAATCAGTCTGACTCCAACTCCGATTGTTGTGTAGCTCGAGAATAGAGCGAGTTTGTACCGAGGGCGAGTAGTCAGTCCTCTACCCTCGGATCCGAAGCTCTCGGACTCCTCAAACTCAGCTCCTGTCCGCATGTGCATTTAGATGTTATTATTTCCCTGCTGTGAGCTAGCGAACCTTAGTCAATGGTGTGTCTATTGCGCGAACAGTAATCAGACTCCTACATTAGATGTACATATGAACTCGCTGCAGCACAGGTAAAAATGCAACGAGGAAAGGGCAGCGAATGCGCTTGCCCGCTCTATATGTTGCAGGATATATGAGCTGTAACATAACATAAGTAACAAGACAAGGAAGAAGCAAAAAAAGCACAGCTTACGACAACGCCAGACGTATCACCTCCCCATACGCCCGGTTTCCGCGGGCGACTCAAGCACATACTAGGCTTGGAAACACTCCCATTGTCGCACGGATCCGTCGGGGATTCATAGCCTGCGATACCCGCCGAAATCATACTCAACATAGTCTTTGCAGGAATCGGTGAACCTCGAACTCGAACATAAGTAATCACGACTGACTTGGTCGAAATTATTTGAGATGAGGTACTTGTGAGGTACTGGTTTATTACCAGGAGTTTCACGGACGTACGTGCCACTGCATTCAGCCAA